TTAACACAATGTGCTTGGGTCTGCCCAGGGCAGTGGGGGACAACCTCGTTTCCGGAGTCGGTTTCTCACTGAGCTCAAACAACATATGACAATATACCAACAGAATCCACTTAACACTTGCCAAAAAGCCAGAATCACTGGGAGAAATACTAACAGGGTAGTGATTGCTTTCTTGAAATTATCTTCTTGGCAAAGGAAGAGGGATACAATTTGAGGAGCTAGTTCTTAAGATGGAAAAGCTTGGGCAGGGTGCAGTATAAGGAAGGTCGAAAACAGGGAATCTTACTTCTCAAGAAATGGCTTCCCTTTCAGAATCTGCACTACGCATGCCTCGTCTGAGTGCCAGACTCTTCAGCGAAGTGGATCCCAAATCCACACAGTGGGTGAACCTGTTCTGTGATCAGTCCTTGGCAAAGAAGAAGACTTACAAGCAGTGTCCAACCACAGCACCTTCCCTGCATCACGGGCACACCCTTTGCTCGGCATCCTAAGGGGAAAGCATGGGACCAGGGCAGTTAAGGATGAGCAAAGGCATCTCAGGATACTCCAGGAAGCCCCTGTGAGTGCACTGGGCAACTCCACAGATAAGTATGTAAAGTATTAATGCTAAATTATAAAGTAAGTCACTGTGAAACAGAAGACCGCTCAGGAATTAAGAGTGCTTGCTTCTCTCTCAGAAGATCTGGGTTTAATTGCCATCCACACTCAGCAGCTTGCAACTACCTGTAAACTGTAACTCCAGTTCCAGGGGGTCTGATTCTCTCTTCTGGCTTCTGAACAGGCACCCACATATACCCCACCCCCACTCCTGTCTCTGTCTCTGTCTCTGTCTCTGTCTCTCTCTCTCTCTCTCTCTGTCTCTCTCTGTGTTTCTTTCTCTGTCACACACACACACACACAAATAAAACTAAAATATTAAAAATACACAATTCTTTGGTATACATACAATTTTATCATTTATTAAAGATGAAAGCAACTTTGCATATAAAATGAGAATTTCCATGGTGTTGTTGTTAGGGTCTTGGTGAAGCCCCACCAAAGGCCACCGTCCACATATGCAATCAGCAAGAACGTTTTTTATTCCAGCATGCTGGGGCCTGCCATCCCACACAAAGGCAAGATGGCGAGGACCCTGAGAGAGATTGTGTGGTCTGCTTTTAAGTGTAGCCAAGAGAAGGTCCTAAGGCAGTTAGGTCATTTTAGATACGATTGACTTCAGCAAGCGGCAACTATATTAGTACGTTTTAGTTGGCCAGGACTGGTTGGGCTGGTCAGGGCTACAGTTTTCCATTTTGGGGGCAGGCCTGGACAGGTCCCAGGCTTTGTCCTTGAGCTGCTGTGGAGGTTGAATGGTCTAGTATGCACTGACTGTGGGGGGTTCAATGGCCCGGGCTTAGTGCACCCTATCTGCCTTGCCCCTGGGGTCAGGGGCACCAGTAATTAATTGTCTTTTTTTTTTTTTTTTTTTTTGTGGCTCTTTCAGAAACTGTTTGCTCAGTCTCAGGAAATTGAACTTGAGGCCTGATCTCTGAGAGAAGATGGAGCAGCCTGTTATGGCATCTGCTCCGTCCTCTCAGTTGTGTGGCAAAATTTTCCTGAGGAGATGCCACACAGGTATCTACTCAACCCAGATAGGTAGCCCATGACAGACCACAGTCCAGGCTGGTGAACCCCAGTGAGTTTTACTGGGGTTATGTACTCCTGTAAGAATGGAGTATGGGGGAAGAGTTACTTACAGGAGAAGAAATGACTGAATGACAGCTGTATCACCTTGAGCCCACACTGGAATGGATGACGGCTCACAAAAACTGGGAACCTGGTGTAGCACGAATCTTAAAGAGTCTTATTAATAAAATCAAACCTGGAGCCAGGTATTGGGGTGAATGCTGGAAGATCAGAGAAGCAGAACAAGCCACATCCAATCTCACCTCGCCAATTCCTCAGCTGATCCTGTTTCCTCAGACTGGAAACCTCTGAGTCCTCATACAGATGAATCTCAGCCAAACTGCTGCTCAAAAGCCTAAGAGCTTAACCAGCTCTAGTTCCTGGTTTTCACACCTTACATACCTTTCTCTTTTCTGCCATCACTTCCTGGGATTAAAGGCATGAGTCACCATGCCTGGCTGTTTCCAGTGTGGCTTTGAACTCACAGAGATCCGGATGGATCTCTGCCTTCGGAATGCTAGGATTAAAGGTGTGTGTGCCACCATTTTCTGGCCTCTATATCTAGTGGCTGTTCTGTTCTCTGACCCCAGATAAGTTTATTAGGGTACACAATATTTTGGGGAACACAATATCACCACAACCTGGAGTACACTACAGTCTGCAGGCAGCTCAGTAGGCTGGATTGTGCCCTTTCCAAGTGACTCAGTTGGTCTAAACCTCTTCCAGGCAGTGCATCTGGTTTCTGCTTCTTCCAGGCAGCTGGTCTGGTATCAGAATGTTCTTTGCAGCTTGGCTTGTCTGAAAGTCACACTCAGGCAGTTTTATTGCTCACTCTGGCAAAGAGGGGCCTAGTGAATCCAGTCATTTTCAGGGACTTCCTGGAGCTATGTGGAGTTGTTTCCTTCCCTGCTTAAAGAGCTCCAGGCAGGATGGAATGTTTTAATCTTTGTAGGAAACAGTTCCACAACACATGGAAAAGGGAATTGAGGGAAAGAGCTTTGGAAAAGAAACAGTGTCAGTTCATCAAGAAAGAGGTCTTCCTCTCTGAGGAAATGGAAACATACTCAATTGTCTTTTCATGTATTAGAGAAAGGTTTTTTTTTTTTTTTTTTTTTTTTTTTTTTGTTTTTTTTGTTTTTTCGAGACAGGGTTTCTCTGCGTAGCTTTGCGCCTTTCCTGGAGCTCACTTGGTAGCCCAGGCTGGCCTCGAACTCACAGAGATCCGCCTGGCTCTGCCTCCCGAGTGCTGGGACCATTTTCAACAGACAGTGTCCCATGTTCAAGTCCAATTCAGCCAAGTACGGCTGGTTCTTAAACTTCTTCTAATTCTGCAAAATTCTTTTGAATGTGGTTTTTGTCTTCTGAAGTTTGCCTTATTAACCAATAGAATGAATAAATTGTTTAGTGAGTAAAAACTAAAGGAAAAGGGAAATGCTCTTACTTTGAAACTAGTGATGGTTAATGGATGTGGATGGCTAACTTTATATAAGGTTTAAAATTTCTGTGCTTACAAGAACAATAGAGCAAAACTGGACTGCCAAATGGTAAGGGCTGCTAAGGGTTAATTTTTGTAATTGCCTGGTCTCGTACAAAAACTGCTGTTTCTGCTTCTGTAAACACAAGCTTGCTTTGCAGGAGATGACCTGCTTGCACTGCACAGAATGTAACTTTGTGTTCTTTGTCTTACCAAGCCCCTAACTGAGGGGGCTGGGCGCTGCAATTAGGAATCCGGAGTCCAGGGTGTAGACCTGGTGCTAGTGTCCAAATAAAAGCCTCTTCGTCATTTAAATTTTCCATGGTCAGACTGGTGAATCTCTGAACGACCCCAGACCCATAACACTGGAGATGAGAAACTGGTTGAGCAACATTTATCTTGGAAGTGGTTGCTAGGATGCCAGGTGCTGGGTTACAAATAGCTATGAATTTATTCTTAGGGTGGTCTGGACTTTGTAGGTCACAGCAACACAACTTCTGAATGTATTAAAAGTCACTGGGTCACATGCCTTAAAGAGACAAATTCACGGTATCTGAATTGAGATATACCTCCATCATTTTTTGTTGTTGCTATTGTTTTTTTCCAGAAGAACAGTTTACTCCTGAATTTGAATTAAGTAGAGAGACACTGAAGCTAATCAGTTGCTTGAAGACTATTTGTTTGGTCTAGATCGTTTGCTAGCTGGTATGGTCAGTCAAGCCAACCTGCCCGATTAGCTCCGGTCACAGAAGAGTTCACCTTCTGCCTTGCCCACCTGTTAGACCTGGATTCGATAATGGCTGAGCCTGGCTCTTTTTTCTTGCACCTGTAAATATGCATTGAGGCCCTCAAATAACATACAGAGCCAATAAACATAATGAATAGATTAATAATAACATCAAATCATGAAAGGAAAAGAGCAAACGACTGGTGTGCACTGTTGTCAGAGCAAATTCACCCAAGTAAGAAAAACAGCCTGTGAAGTCGGCTGCTGAGGAACGGCAATTTATTTAGAGAGCAGCAACTGCCATTCCAGAATGGATTATCTTCTGATAAAAGTGATGAATATGGATGTATAAAAGCCCGACCCGGGGGTGGGGGTGGGGGGAAGAGCTGGCTAAAGATTGCACCCAAGATAATTCAATTGATTCCGGTCAGAACTGCATTGCTGAGATGACTTAGCAGGATGGGCTGGGTGCTTGCTTGTCTGTGACAACCAAGGATTTAGGATGGAGAGATCTTCATATTGCTCCATTTTACTAATGTGTTTTATCAACCTACCACAGTGATGATGTTCCTTTGACCTGTTCACTAAAAAAAGAGAATTCAAGGCCAGGATCTCCATGAAGAACAAAAGAGCTGTATCTACTGACTCCTCAGAAAGTTAAAACCACAGTAAACAAGAGTGCCCCGCCCTCATAGCCTTTCCTGCCATCTTTCCAAGCACCGGTGAAACTGTGAGCCCTGGGTGAGAGGGCGTAAGAGAGCTGCTTTAATTCAGAAGTTCAAAGTCTCCCAAAGGTCTTTGGGCTTTTGCCCCTTGGGTGGCTCTATTGGAAACTAGGAAACATTTAGGAGGCAGGGTCTAGGGAGCTCCTTAGGTCACTGGGGGCACCCCTTCTGTTTGCTTTGTGGATGATGACGGAAGCAGCTTTCCTCGGCCATGCATGCCCACCACGTGTGCCCTTCTTGTCTGAAGCCCAAAGCAAGAGAGCCCACTCACTGTCTCAGCTGAAAACCTCCAGAACCATAACTCCAGCCTTTCCCTTCCGAAGTTAGTTATCTCTTGTATTTTGCATTATTGATGGAAAGCTGAACGACTTGGAAGCCATCCCTGTATTTCTAATAGAGGCCAACTCACCTTGAATAACACCAGGCAGGAGCTGTAAAATTGCTGAGCGGGACAGAATAAGGTTTGGAACCCGGGTATATTCAAGTCCTGATCATTATTTCACCTTGGGCAGGCTTATCATCTTTCCAGGCCTCAGCTTCATCACCTGCACGCAGGGACGTTCTTGTTTGCTCTACAAGAACACAAGATGCTAAATGAGGTATGAGTTCGTGGCACAGAGGGCACAGTGGTGTTACTGTCTCCTCTTAAGTATTCCACCAATTGCATGGGGTCTAGGGTGATTTAGCCGCCAGCTCAGAACAACCAAAGATAACTCCACATAACCAGAGTATAAACGAGCTCTCTGCTGTAATGTTAGACCGTGTTTGGAAAATGTAGACTAATATTGAATTCATGAGTTAATGTTCTTTCTGGAACTCACTTCCTGTGCATTGTGTGAACAACCCACACAATTAATCCAAGCGACCTTTTCACTTAAAACTCGCTGTTCAACTGCACCCCCCACCACCACCGCACAATGGTGTCGGCCTTCCACTGACTGTCGCTTGTGCCCTTCAGATTTCAGGGGGGGACGTAGACTAGAATGGTGGTAAGAAAGAGGCTCTTGACCGGCCAGCCATTCTGCTCCTAGGATGGTTGTGGTTACAGAGGTGATTGGTTTACTTTGTAAGGACAGATCCACAATTCACTGGCTGGCTGGCTCAGCAGCATCCTTCCGTGTTAATGACATCTTGCAGTTGGGTGGGAAAACTAATAATAGGAAGCAAAAGAAATGCCCCAGCATGCTCACAATAGTGCGTCTCTCTGGCTTTCTCCTTGGAGACTGTGGTAGGACGCAATTACTGATGGTCTTTCTTGTTAAGTATCCTTAAAGTTTCCATTTGCCTTTTTAAAAAGTTTGTCTTATAATAAAAGGTGTACTACCAAGTGAGTTCCAGGAAAGGCGCAAAGCTACACAGAGAAACCCTGTCTCGAAAAACCAAAAAAAAAAAAAAAAAAAAAAGGTGTAGCAAGACCTGTACAAGAATAAGCCAGTCAACATTCTAGCGTAGAGTGGGGAGGGCTTCACAAGCCCCCACCTGTAACTGAGGAGCCATGGACAGACAGCTGGCTGCTTCTGGGGAGGGAAAGTCAGGTTTCTTTAAGGGTGTGGCTCTGGTGGGTGAACCATGCTGCAGTGGAGGGCCCCACACTCAGGAGTATATGCATAGCACAATTTAGACTTGGTATTTGTAGTATGAATTCTAATTGGTTTTAATAACAAAAGCCTGGAGTCAGATATAGAGGTAAATGCTGAAAGATCGGAGAAGCAGATAGAAAGACTAGAAAGACTTCTTACCTCTCGGAATCCTCGCCTGAAAGAGCCAAGCTCCTTTCTCCACCCTGCTTTATCACTTCCTCTCTCTGCCCAGCCATATCACTTCCTTCTTCTAAGTGGTGAGATTAAAGATGTGTACCTCCCAAGTAATGGGATCAAAGGCATCAGATCCCAAGTGCTGGGATTAAAGGTGTGTGCCATCTCTGCCTGGCCTCTAGTGGCTAGCTCCACACTCTGATCTCCAGACAAGCTTTATTTGTTAAAGCACACACAAAATACCACCACAGTCATTTTAAAAAGAAAACACAAAATTGGAGTGGTAGGAAGGTGGGGGTGGATAGAAGAGAAGTTAGGGGGAAGAGTTGAGGATGAATATGAGCAAAACACATTGTATGAGATTCTTAAGGAGTTAATAAAAATATTATATTGAGAATAATATGTGCACAGTTCCTTTTAATGGAAGTTCCTCCCCTTCACCAACTTTGTGGAACAGCTGTTGGAGAGAAGTTATTTCTCCTCAACTCCAGGCTCCCCGGTGAGGAGAGGCTGTTTGGGACGAGAAACAGCACCCACTCTTTCCCGAAAGGATAAAGCATTGCTCCTTTATGAAAAAGAAAGTCACAGGTTCCTGCCCCTCACGGTGACAGCTAGCAAGGCTAATTGTTCTCATTCTCCGTGTGCTGTTTATTAGTAAAAGAAACAGCGGGCGAGCCTGAGGGGGAGTCAGAGCAGGCTCTATATTTAGTCTTAAGAGTCAGGCGGGGAAGGAAGGCCTCTGGCTGTGACCAGAGGAAGCTGCGGCAGATGGGCAAACTCTCCTTTTGATACTAAGAGAGTCTGAAACCCATGTGTTATCCCAGTAAGACAGCCCAGGAATGATGGCAAAATAAGTCAAGATGAGTTAGAAGAAACTCTTTCCTGAAAGCAGATGACACCAATTAGGTGCACCTGAGCACTGACAGCCGCGGGAGGAAGTTGTGACCACGCCTGAGTTTTGACTTGTTGGAATCTTGTATCTTCGGTATCTTTGTTACATCATTTTAAGCAGGTATGTTTACCATTGGCTAGTTAAGGAACAAGGAGCACCGGGATTGTATTTTATTTTCTTGTTGTTGTGTGGAGGGGGGACATGTGTTCTAAAGTATGGCTGCCATAGCTCCTGTGCAGAGGCCAGAGGGCCACTTTCAGGAGTCTATTCGCTCTTTCCCGAGTGGGTTCTGAGGATTGATCTCAAGTCATCAGGCTTGTACTGCAAGAGCTTTTCCTGACTGGCTTTTCATGCCAGCCCCATTTCCATTTGTTTGTTTAAGCTGGGTTCTCACTATATGACCCTGGCTGGAACTCAGAGGGATCCACCTGCCTCAGTCTCCCAAATGCTGAGATTAAAGGTGTACACCACCGTGCTTGTCCTATTTGTTTTTAGGTGAAAAACAGTGCAGTCTTTTTCAGTTACCTGTCGTCTTGAGGTATTTGTGCACTGTGTGAGGATGTGTCACTGTGATTGGTGTAAGAAAGAGTTGAATGGCCAATGGCTGGGCAGGAAGAGGTTAGGCAGGACTTCCGGGGACAAGAACCTGGAAGAAAGAAGAAGGTAGAGTCACCAGCCAGACTCAGAGAAAGCAACGTGAACAGTACGGAGAGATGATGTAACAAGCCACGTGACAGAATGTAAATTAAAATAAATAGGTTAACTTAAGTTATAAGAGCTAGTGAGACAAGCCTAAGCTAAGGCTGAGCTTTTAATTAATAAGTCTCCATGTCATTATTTGGGAGCTGGCTTGTGGGACAGAGAAAGACTTGTTATAACCTATAATTAGGGTTATCGGGTTCTTTGGACTGTGAGATAATTATGAAACCGGGGATATAAGGAATGAACGTTTAAGAAAGCAATTGTTACTGCTTTTTCTCTGAAGAAGACTGTTTAGTCTGTTTTGTACTGCTATAACAAAATATCCAAGGCCTGGGCAGGTATCTAATTAGGGTTATTTGGCTCGTGATTCTTTGGGCTATTGAGTCTAAATGACAGGCTGCCAGTACTCTGGTGAGGACCCTATGGCTGCATCTCAACATGGGAAAGAAGCAGAAGCTGAATGGGGTCCTGCAGATGGGGCCAACATTTAAAATAATCCAGGCTAATGAGAGACCTAACTCCCTCCCAAGAAACAGTGTTAATGCATTTATTTATATAGTGGGTTCCCCGTGACCTAATTACTTTCTGCTACCTGTCTCTTGGGGGGGGGGGTTGCCCTGCTCAACACCATCTGACTGGAGATGCATACCCTGACCCCAGCAAAGGCTAAGATTGACTCGGAACTCCGTGTTGCTCTCCCTTATTGTATTATTTGTTTCTTATTTGGTCCCTTATTATCTCACTTTATTATGGCCTTTCCAGGTTGGAATCTAACCAAAAACATCTTGCTTCATATGAATTCAGTGAATATGTACAGAACAATGAAGAGTGTAGTAGTTTAATGAGAATGTCCTTCATAGGCTCACATGTGAATGCTTTGCCCCTACTTGGTGGAACTGTTTAGGAAGGATTAGGAGGTGTGGCCTTGTTGGAGGAGGTTTGTCACTGCAGGTGGGCTTTGAGGTTTCAAAAGTCCCCACCAGGTCCCAGTCTCTCTCTCTCTCTCTCTCTCTCTCTCTCTCTCTCTCTCTCTCTCTCTCTCTCTCTCTCTCCCTCCAACTTTCAAATAAGATGTAATGTAAACTCTCAGCTACTGCTCCAGCACCATGCCTGCCTGCTTGTTGCCATGCTCCACGCCATGATGGTCCTGGACTCACCCTCTGAAACTGTAACCAAGCCCCCAATTAAATGCTTTCTTCTAAAAGTTGCCTAGGTCATGGTGTCTCTTCATAGCAGTAGAACAGTAACTAAGATGGAAGCCAGTAGGATTTGGGGTGAGCCGTAAAATCATGAAAAAGGAAATGGGGAGTTTGGCGAGGCAGAGCTCAGAAGCCGAGCTTTTCTTTGGTGTAGATATGAAGACCCACACAGGAGGAAGGGAAGGGAGGAATGAAGAGGTCTCATCGGTTCAGAAGGCACGAGCTCAGCCACATCAGGCCCTGTCACACCCCTGGACACTTGCTGGGTCTGCCTCATATGTTCAGGTCAGGAGGTAGAGTGTCATCTGGAAAACGTCTCAACTTCTATAATGAGCTCGTCACAAAACAATGTCTTATTCTTCTGTGACTGCAAGACCCCTTCCTGTACTTTTGGCATCTATGTGAGATCCTTGTGTCTCTCAGGAGGTCAAACATAACCTCAAACCTTGGAAACTGTAGTTAGCATATTCTAAAGCCTGCTGGAGTAGACTGTTCATTTGCCCCACCAATTTTTTTTTTTTTTACGTCCTGCCATGACAACCCTAATATTGTTCCAGTGACAGAATGTGAAGATAAGGAGACAGCATTCTGTCTTCTTACCATATGCCCTGAGAAAGATGCCACAGAAAGAATATCAATGAAAGACACGGTACTGTGACTTAGAAATGCAAAGACAAGTGAAGCGCATGGCAATGAGTTAGGGTACCTGGCTCAGGAGGGGTGTTAAAGAACGCTTCCCAGAGTAAGAGGTATTTTAAGTGAGACCTAGAAAGTACATGGGAGTGGTCAAGTAAAGATTGTCAGACATTGGAAATAAGGGAAAGAACTCCAGGATAGCGTGAGTGTGCGTGCGTGCCTGCTGCGTGCGTGTGTGCGTGCGTGTGTGCGTGCCTGTCTGCGTGCCTGCCTGCGTACATGGGAGGGACTAGGTAAAGTCTTAGTTCCTCAGGGCACCCCAGTTCCCCATTTAATCTCAGGAAAGGAAGACCCCCATCCAGCCAGTCATGATTGAGCCCTGTCCCTCAGGAGGCTGAGGCTGGAGGCCATATTTAAGGCCAGCCTGATGTACATGGTGAGATGTCTCAACATAAAAACAATTCTTAAAAACAAAATGAAACACATAAAAGTAGTAAGGAGTCTGTCCCTCTTAAAGGAAGGAGGCAGGGCAATGGGAGGGAGAGGGGACTACTTGAAGGGGAAGGGGGAAAATATGACTGAATACATTGAACTCACGTGTGAAAATGTCATGAAACCCATTATTTTATACAGATAGCATGTGCTGATGGTTTTTTTTTTTTTTTTGAGAATATTATGATTTGTGTCTTTGTTACTGTGAAAACATTCTCTGTGGCTAGGATAACATTCTCTGTGGCTAGGGTAACATTCTCTGTGGCTAGGGTAACATTCTCTGTGGCTAGGGTAACATTCTCTGTGGCAAGGATAACATTTTCTGATAAAAGCAACTTAAGGGGGAAAGGTTCATCCTAGCTTACAGTCAGCCAGGAAAGTGAAGCCACACGGTACCAACGGGACAACTAGAAGTGTCCTTCTGTGGTCAGGGGTGCTGTCCAAGGAGCGTCAAGGAGCTAACACCATTGCTCTGGAGGCAATGTGCTTTGAGGATACTGGGCAATGGCAGAGTTCTGCTGGGATCTATGGAATTAGCTGACTCCTGGCCAGGCAACCTTGCTGAGGCATCTCAGACATCTAATGGCTGTTTAAAGGAAAACAGTGTGGAGATTTTTTTTTTTAAGCAAACTGAAAATAGAATTATGACAGGATTCAGCTATGCCAGTCTTATGGATATACCTAAAGGAATCTAAGTCAGCCTTTAACAGAGACCAGCACATCTGTGTTTAATGTGTTTGTTCACAATAGCCAGGATAAAGAATTACCCATCAGAAGCTGAGAGAGAAAATGTGGTATATGTATACTATGGAGTTTTATTCAGCAAGAAAGAAAAATGAATTAGTTCATTTGCAGAAAAATGGATGGAATGGGAGATCATTTTTAGCAAAGTAAGCCAAATGCAAACAAATATGATATTTCCTTCTCATGTGCGGAATAGTTCCATATATGAGTGTGATAAGAAAGTAGAAAAAGTCTTATCGGGAGGAGGGAAGGCCAAGGAGAAAACCTAACAGGTTGGGGTAGCACATGACAGATCAGCATGAAGATGGCATTATGAACACATCGTTTGTACAATGAATGGTTTAGTGTCAGCACTTAATACTTGTTTTTAAAGTCTAATGGTCATAGAGACCTCCTGCTCTTTGTATTGTATGTACCACAGTCCAGAGTGAAGAGACAAAGCTGTAAAGTACACAGCTTCCAGGCAGGTGACTTGTAGTCTAAGTCAGCTGTGGTTCTGCAGTAGAGGAGTGACGTTCCCACTTCCTCCATGCAGCACCCGCCCTTGGCCTCCTGTGTGCTCCCCATTTTGTGCACCCAGGAACCAACTGGAGAGACTGTCGATATTAGGTTCCCGTGCCTGTGGGCGGCCAGCTCCCACCTTTTCCAGGGTTCCTATGAGGAGGAGAGAAGGATAAGAAAATATTAGATAGAAAGATAGCAAAGAGGAGAAAGACAGAAATGCAGGAGAGCTTCTGGAGAACCTGGGTCAATACTCAAAGGCCTCAAAGTTTTATTCAAAAGGCTTTTTATAATATGCCAAGGGGAAAGGCAAAAGGTCTCCCCTTTGCAAGATCAAAGCACACCATACAGCCAAGTGTAGACCCTTCCAAACACTTGGTAAACACACCCGTGGCCAAATCATCTCCTCATGCATCCCTGCTGGGTAAAGCAAGCTCAGAATCTCTGACCCTGAGTAATTTGGGCCTCCACACATGCCCAGCCTTTAGTGATTTCAGCTCATTGGTTTGAGGCAATACCGTGGACTTTTCATTTTAGACAAATACCCCAGCAATCCAAAGCACAAACTTCCTGAGCCACACTCTGTAAGAAGCTGGCGGTACCTGCTTGATGATGTCAGGCCTCCAATAATGCAGCCAGCACAGTCATTCCTTGTGGCTATGTTTAGCTCATTTCATATGTCTATATTATCAAGTAACTTCATTAACTCAAGTTTGCAATAGACATCTACCTCCTTTGCATCATGTTTTATTTATATTTACCAATCTCGCTCTCAACATTGAAACTGACACTTCCTACTCATCCTTGATAGACACTTCAGACCACATCCCAGCAAATTCATTTCTTTTATTGATGAACTCACTGCTAGTAACATTTACCTGATGACCATACCGTTTTCATCATTTGGTTAACACAGCCATGGAGGAAGAATAAGGAATGGCTAGCTTTCTGATGTAAGTTATGTCTGCTCTTCCAGGAGCAGCGTGTGTATTGTAGTAAGTTATTTGGTTGAGTAGTAGAGAGTTGGGAGCCCTAAAGTAATAGTAAACTCTAAGAATCCACAAAATCTCAGCAATCTAATGTGTCAGCAAACTAATTCATAATTGGTTGGTTGTAATTACATAAACTACTATTTATTAAGTACCTACTGTGTGTAGGGTACTTTAAGTGCTTTGCACATATTAGTTTGAGTGATCCTTACAATAGCACTTGAAGGAATGTTTCTCCTGACAGAATCAGCATCTAAAATACATCTTGATGGGCTTTCCTAGGCACTGGGAACATTCCATTCACGAAGAGGGATAAACACAAAG